CTCACTGGCAGCCACTTCCCCTCCTGCCCCAGCCCCGGCAGCCACCAGCCTGCTTCCTGCCTTTGGATTCATCTATTCTGGACGTTCTGTATGCAGGGAATCCTGCCGTGAGTGGCTTTAGTGCCCGGCTCCTCTCTCGGAGCAGCATGCTTTTTGGTTCCTGCATGTTGTGGCGGCGTCAGAGCTTCGTTCCTCTCTGTGGCTGAGCAGTATTCCCCGGTGCGGCCTGGCCACCGTGTGTCGATCCGTGCGCCGTTGGAGGGGCATTTGGGTTTGTGCTTGTTGGTGACTGCGGACGACCTCCGACTGCGGATGGCATTTAAGCCGCATGTGAACTTCACTCGCAGCTCCGGGTCCTGTGGTTCCTGGCCCCCCCCCTTCCATTTCTGTGAAACGTCCAGCACGCGGACAGCTTCCCCACACAGAGCCCAGCTCAGTCCTCTCACAGACACAGCCATTTGCCCAGAAACTGGAGATTTAAAAACTGCATGGAAACACACACACTGAGGGGGGGGGAGGGTGTGACTGCAGTGCGTGGGGGACAGGCTTGCTGTCTGCCTGCTCTTCCTCATCTTCCTCCTTTTCCTTCTCTCTTTTTTTTAAAAATATTTTTTTATTGCCCTAACCGGTTTGGCTCAGTGGATAGAGCGTCGGCCTGTGGACTCAAGGGTCCCAGGTTGGATTCTGGTCAAGGGCATGTACCTTGGTTGGGGGCACATCCCCAGTAGGGAGTGTGCAGGAGGCAGCTGATGGATGTTTCTCTCTCATCGATGTTTCTAACTCTCTATCCCTCTCCCTTCCTCTCTGTAAAAAATCAATAAAATATATTTAAAAATATATATATATATATTTATTGATTTCAGAGAGGAACAGAGAGGGAGAGAGAAATAGAAACATCAATGATGATAGAGAATCATGGATCAGCTGCCTCCTGCACGCCGCACACTGGGGATCGAGCCCACAACCCAGGCATGTGCCCTGCCTGGGAATCGAACTGTGACCTCCTGGTTCATAGGTCGATGCCCAACCACGGAGCCACGCCGGCCGGGCAATCCTTTTCCTTCTCCGAGGGCGTCCCAAGGCTCAGCCTCAAAGCTGCCATGCGGGGGGTCTGAGCGGCTGCCGCCCTCAGCCACCTGCCCGTGTGCACAGCCCTTTCCCGTGTGCTCACGTGCAGGCGTTTTCGGAACTAAATGAGGCGCGTCTTCTATTCCACCCTCATCGTCGACACTGCTCTCCGTTCACCCATTTTCTTGATTCCTCCCGGCCCACGTCACTTGCTTGTCATTTAAAGGACAAAATAACATTCCGGGCATTTGTCTCTTCCATGTTGCTAAGCTATTCTCTGGGGCACGCGCATTGCCAGCTGTCGGCGCTAATGAGCGGGCCGTTGGAACATCTTCGCACAAATGCTCCTCTGTCTCCTGGTCACTTCCTTGGGGGATAGTTGCGAGAACACGCAGCGAGTCCAGGGGGGACTGGTCAGTGAGTGCCTCTGACCCTTCGGACAGCTGTGTGCAAACAGCCCGTGCAAACTGTGAATTCACAGTTGAAGGTGGCAGGATTTCATGAGCCCGGCTGTGTGAGGTCAGGGCCAGAGACCTGGGGTCCTCTCCCAGCCTCGTCCCCGGCTGGCTGGGTGAACTTGGCCCTCAGTCTTCCCGTCTGAGAAATGAAAGGGTTGGACAGGCAACAGTGGCCAGAGAGCATCTTGCGGCTTTGGTCCCCGGGTCCACCCGGGAATGCCGGGGCGAGGCGGTGTTTCTAGGCAACAGTGTTTGTTTGTGGCTGGGACAGCTGCTAGCTCTCCTGGCCCGGCTCACACTCCCGGGGCAGCTGGCCAGGGTCCCCTACTGGGCCAGATCCAGCCACATCAGGGGGAGCGGAGGGGGCAGCCAGCAAGGGCGGGTGATCTACACGCCCAACCCCTCCCTGGCCCAGTTACCCCCCCAACACAGAGGTGGGGGTTGCTGCTGGGCTTCTAGTGACCCAGGACAAAAAGCCATTCCCTCACCGGCATGGCATGGACTGCCCGGGCCCCTTGTGGGGTCTTCACCTTGGTGGGTCCTCACAGCTCAGCCTGCTGCCCGACCTGGTGGCCCTGAGGTTTTGGTCTTGTCAGCCTATGGCCAGCAGCTCTCTTTCTGGAAAACTTGGCAGTGAGTTAAGCTCTGAGCTGACGGGCGAGGTCACCGCGGTGGCTGGCAGGGCGGTAGCAGAGAGGGGGGCGAGTCCCGGGTCTGCCCTGACCAGCTGGTGGCCGTGGAGGCCTCTGCAACGCGGGCTGAGGGCATAGGACCTGCCTGCGTGCAGGAGTGGCTGTTGGGAGCTTCACGTGAGCATGTCCATGGGGGGCGCTCCGCTGTGCGGGCCACACGGGACCACCCCATAGGCGGCAGACACCTGTGAGCATGGCTCGGTGTAGGTTTCTTGGGCTCACGGATGGCGCTTCTCCCTCTCGCGTATGTTGTCCTTTGGGGGGTCTCGGGCCCCTCCGCCTGGATCCCCAGCTGGCTTTTCCATGTGGGGCTTCCTCATAAGGGTCTGTGATGCAGGGAGGCCCCAGCGAGGAGATGAGGGTCGAGCGGCCTTTGGCGGGTGAAGGCCCCGCTGCCTGGTGTGGGTGGGTGGGCCCTTGCCCTGTGCAGGCTCAGGCCCCGCTCTTGTGCCAGCAGACGGGCACGTGGGGGTGTCCGTGGGGAGGGCTGAGCATCCGCAGCCACCGACCCTTCTTCTGGAAGGGTCTGTGCCAGCGGTTCTCAACCTGTGGGTTGCGGCCCCTTTGGGGGTCGAACGACCCTTTCACAGGGGTCACCTAAGACCATCGGAAAACACATATATAATTACATATTGTTTTTGTGATTAATCACCATGCTTTAATTATGTTCAATTTGTAACCATGAAATTGGGGGTCACCACAACATGAGGAACTGTGTTAAAGGGTCACGGCATTAGGAAGGTTGAGAACCACTGGTCTGTGCTCTCGGGGTGATGGGTCCTTTAGAAACGGGGACAGTGGTACCAACAGCATGGGACCCAGCAGGAGGGACTGGGTGCAGACACGCCCCTGACACGGAGCAATCTGAGGACGGAGCACTTCCTCAAACCCGCGGCAGCCTGCCCACCTGGACCCCCTCTTTGTCCAGCGAATGAATGAATGGGTGGATGGGTGGATGGATGGATGGATGGATGAGCAATTGGCTGAACTGGGCTCCACGCAGCTCAGCGCCAGCGAAGTGTAACCTGCCTGGATTCACCAGGGAAGGCTCCATGGAAGAGCCGGAGCCGGAGCCGGTGCTGCCAGGAATGGGTCCGGGGGGCAGGAGAGTGTCCTTGGGCGGCAGGGGACAGTGTGCTCGCAGGTGGGAAGGGGAGCGTGTGCGTGGACTGCTGGGATTTGCCGCCAAACATTTCTTGAGCACCCTCTGTGGGTCAGGACTTGTGCTGAGGGCTGGGACACGGCAGGAGCCTGGGCACGCCTGGCCTCCCCCTCACCGAGCCATTGACAGGACAGGTGATCACAGGTGTGATGAGCCCCGTGACGGCTCCAGGAGTGTTCACCGGGAGCAGGGCACTGCCGGGCGGCAGGGTGGCTGCCTGAGCGCTAAGGACGAAAGGGACCTGGAGAGTGACTGGTCTGGGTCTCAGTGAGGTGTGCGCTGGGAGTGCGGTGTGGCCTGGGAGTGAGGTGTGGCCTGGGAGTGAGGTGTGGCCTGGGACGCGCATGCTTCTGGGCATCCCGCTCAGGTGCCCTTTGGTCTCCCCGGGCAGGTAGGCCCCCCTTGGAGCTCGCAGGACCAGGGGGACCCAGCGGGGTAGTGGGTCCCACTCAGGTCCACATCCCCCATCTGCGTGGCTGTGTGAACCTTGGAGCTGACAGGCAGCGAAGGCTCGAGCCTGATGGATGTCATAAACAGGAAATTCCCCGAGAATCTGGGCACCACTCGGAGCCATCTGGACACTCACGCCACCGGGAAGGAGCAGCTGCCGCTAATTACGCCACACGCACACCGCAGCAGTGTGCTCCCCGCCGCTCCCCGCTCCCCCGGGCCCCCGAGCCCACCCCTGGGCTGCAGCCCCCAAACCTGCCAAGTTTCTGGGAATGTGGAGGGAGAGCTGGGTCACAAGCCAGGTGGTGAGGAAAGGGCAGGCAGCTGTGGGAGTCCGAAGGCTGCACCTACCAGCCTTGGGCATCAAGGCAGCCTTCCCGGGGGAGGTGACGTCGAAGTATTGAGGTGTGAGCAGGTGTGGTCCAGGTGAACAGGAGGTGGAGGAGTGTCTCAGGCAGGAAGACAGCATGAGCAAAGGCGTGGAGGTGGGAAGGGCCTGGCCCCTGAGGAAGAGCATGGTGCAGTGCTACACGGGGAGGTCGGGTGGGGTAGGGGGACTGGCCCGGGGGTCCGTCCAAGCCATGACACTGTGCTTGGGTTCTGTCCAGCGGGCAGTGGGCAGCCCCAGGGGACGGTGGTTACAGTGACGCGAGATGTGGCCAGACGGGCACTGAAAGCGAGCACAGGCTCCGTGGGGCCGGCCTCAGCTTGTCCGTCTGGGAAATGGACTCTCACTTCTTCCGTTTCTTCCTTTGTGCCTAGGGAGCAGGTTCCAGGAAGCGACCTGGGGCTGCTCACAGGAAACATTGTTTACATTCTGGAAGTTTCTTTTGTATTGTTTTTTTTTGTCCCCCAGGTGTTCCCACTTCCTATCCCTTTAAGGCAGTGGTTCTCAACCTTCCTAATGCCGAGACGCTTTAATACAGTTCCTCATGTTGTGGTGACCCCCAACCATAACATTATTTTCGTTGCTACTTCATAACTGTAAGTTTGCTACTGTTATGAATCTTAACGTAAATATCTGATATGCAGGATGTATTTCCATTGTTACAAATTGAACATAACTAAAGCACAGTGATTAATCACAGAAACAATCTGTAATTATATATGTGTTTTCCGATGGTCTTAGGTGATCCCTGTGAAAGGGTCGTTTGACCCCCAAAGGGGTCGCGGCCCACAGGTTGAGAACCGCTGCTTTAAGGGCTTGGTGAGGGAGGAAGCAAGGCGTTCTGTGGTCTTTCGAGTCCCAGAAGGTGACCTCTGAGATAAAGGAGTCCGGAGCTGCCTTTTTGAATATGAAGTCCTTGGGGTTCAGAGATGTCGACCGCCCTGCCTGAGGTCGCACAGCGTGTCTTTAGCAAACACTGGACCTCAGATCCAGAACGCTGTCTCCCAGCCCCGACCTCTTTCCTCTGACCCACGCTGGCCCTGCTTCACCAGCTGAGGTTCTCTGGGAAGTCCTGGAGGAAACCGCATCCCTGCCCCGAGTGGATGGAGTGTGCGTTGCAGCCTCCAACTGACTGGGCCTTTGCTTGGGGATGTCAACATTAATCTACTTATAAAAGGAAAAAATGAGATGGGGAAAGCCAAGCGGGAGAGGGCGCCATGCAGGGGAGAGGTTCGCCTGTCACCGGGACAAATACGCCCCGTGTAGCCTCTTCCCTCCACGTTGGACCTGCTCAGGGCTGCCCAGCTTGTGGGAGACGGGCAAGGCCCAGGCAGGGGGGGCGGGTTCTTGCTAACAGCAGGCCGTTCCCTGAGCACTTACTATGTCCCGGCACCGTGGGCTTTGCCGGCATCGGGTCACTCGGTGCTCACCCTCTCCTGTGACTCCCGATGAGGACGCCGGGGCTCGGGAGATGCAGTGCTTGGCCCAAGGTCAGCCCGCAAGAGGCACAGGGTGGGTCATGCCGGGGCCATTGCCGTCACAGCCCGGCTCCCATCGGCTCTGCCCTACCGCTTCTCAGGGTGGGGCACTTCCTGTGTCCCTGGGCAGTGTTCCCAAGGGATGGTCCCCTGACACCTGTCTCAGAGCCACCTGGGGCCTGGGAATCTGCATGTTTTGCAGATAGCTAGGAGATTCTTTGTTAAAAAAATATATTTTTTTTATTGACTTCAGAGAGGAAGGGAGAGGGAGAGAGAGAGAAACATCAATGATGAGAGACATCAATTGGCTGCCTCCTTCAGTGCCCCCACTGGGGGTCGAGCCCACAATCCGGGCATGTGCCCCTACGTGACCTCCTCCTGGTTCATAGTCTGATAGTCAACCACTGAGCCACAGCGCCGGGCACAGCTAGGAGATTCAGGCGAGAAGCCCCATCCTACAGGTGTGAGTGATGGTCTCCACCTGGAAGAGCTGATGGTGTTCAGGTCTGTGGCCTAGGAGTCCTGCTCCTGTGCGTGGGGGACACCAGACGGCTCTGTGTGTGTGGGACTCCAGACGGCTCTGTGTGTGGGGGACACCAGGCGGCTCTGTGTGTGGGGGACACCAGACGGCTCTGTGTGTGGGGGACATACCATGCAACTCTGTGCAGAGAGCTCTGGCGGTGAAAGAGCAAGAGGAGGAAAGACGGGAGGGAAAGAAAGAGGAAGGAAAGAAAAATATATGTGTTTAAACGTCCACCCAACGGGGAATAAATTAAGCAACTGTGGCCTGATCACACCAGGGAATACTATATAACAGTGAAAAATGAATGGGTTAGCCCTACACACATACTCATGATGCCATTATGTGTTTTAAACAGTACAAAACTGCACTGTGGATTGTTTATGGATGCACTGTTGTCACCATGGTAACAGCTGACCTCTGTGGCGTCCTAGTCTGTTCCAGGCACTGGGCTGTGAATTAGGTCATTCGTTGTCTGGACAATTCTGTGTGGGATACAAACACTACTGTTGTCTCTATTTTCCAAAATGAGACAACTGAGGCACAGAGAGGTTAAGTGACTTGCCCAACGCCACGTAGCAAGCCCATGGCAGGACGGGGTGGCCCGGTCCAGTGCCGGGAATCTCGAGACCACCGCCCAACGAATCATGTACAGTCATCCTCGGAGGACTTGCCCAAGTGCCTGCTGGGTGCCCCAGACACACCGGAGGAGGGGGCGGCTGGATGGGGCTGTTGCCTCGCTTTACAGATGGGGATGCAGGGGCCCAGGGCCATACAGAGTGAACCGCAGCAGCAGCAGCAGCAGCAGCGACCTGTTGGAGAAGCACATGCCCAGCACTTTGCCTGCAGCTGCCTGGGAGACGGAATGACCGTCACCCCCATTTTGCCGGGGAGAAAACTGAGAAAGGGGAGTGGGGACCAGAAACGTCGGGCTCTAGAGCCCAGCTGTAGCCTGGTGAGCACAGGCGGGGGCGTTGGCCCATGGAGTCCCCACCCCCTTGCTGGCCACTTGCACTCGGGGCCAGTCGGGGCCGGTGGCCACAGCTGCCCTCTCTGCTTATGGGGCAGGGGCCGCGAGGAGCCGGCACATATGGGTGGTGACATCATGTCTGCAGGGGCCCCTGTGGGATGGGACTAGGTGACCTCAGCAAGGTGGGCGGGATGGGGGAGGGCAGAGATGGGGCCTCACAGCTTCCTCCTCAGGCCCAGCACAGTGCTGGGCAGTAGAACCTGCAGAGCACCCGGCACTTCACCGCAGAGGGCCCCCGACTGGCAGATGCTCCCCCAAAGCCATGGGAAGGGCCTCCAAATGCAGCCTCATCCCCCCACCCCCGCCCCCACTCAGGGGAGGGTCGAGGGGTGGCACGTGGCACGTGTGTGCGTTAGAGGAGGGGAGTCAGCAGGGGTCCAGCAGCGAGCCGGTGCCGGGCCCGGGGTTGAGCCAATGCAGGGTCGGTTCCCCAGCCCCAGTCCCTCTTAGCTGCCCATTCTACAGATGAGGAAATGGAGGCTCCAAGAGGCAAAGGGACTTCCTTCGTCCAGCTAGGAAAGGTTCAGAGTTTGGACTTGAACCCAAACTGGCAGCCTCCTAATTCAGTGCTGTTTCACCAGTGGGGGCGAGACCTGGCCTCGGCTGGCAGTTCAGGGAAGTGGAGGTGGGGCAGGGGGAGCTGGGGAGGGTGGGTGCTGGCACTGCTCTCGTCCTCGCAGGCTTCCTGGGGACGGTGGCTGCTTTGAGTTGGGTCCAGAGGCCTGAGGTCGGTTGGGGTCTCACCGGCGCCCCTCACTCCTGCAGGCATCGCCTCCTCCCGTCGGGCTCCCTGCGTCTGGCCCAGGCGCAGGCGGGTGACAGCAGCCTCCACCTG